GCTGTGCTTTGCCAGGCAGTGGCAGATGGGTGAGCTAGAGCTCTCCTTGCTGACTCTTCTCTTTGCCAGCTGAAAAACCAGGGGCTTGCCTATCCTGAGAACATAAAGCTTCTCCTGCTGTTCTTCAACACGTTCCCCTAAGCAAGCTGTCGTTCCTTCATAGTTAACATTTTACATCTACTGCAGTCTTGTATTATTTTAGGAAATTGTATTTATAATTTCTGAACACAAGTGGTTGGGAAAGGCAGGAGAAACGAGGTCATCTCTTCAGGTAACTGGGAGTTGTCATTGTAGATTGCAAGTCCTGGCATCCTTCAGGTAACGCCAGCTCCTGCATAGGTGCGTGGCCTGGCACAAGAGTGGGGATTGCTCTGAACACCTTCATACTAATGATGATAAAGAAGCAAAGCAGAAATCCTGTGTCCAAGTTCCTTCAAGCATGCGATGAAAGGATCCCATGCAAGATAGTAAATTTATTTCCTTCTGTGTTTGTTTTCCAGTAGGATGAACTTCAGGGTCACAGCAGTGGGAGGCTGTTGTAGTGGGTAGAAGGAAAGCAAGCAGCAGTGGATGTGCTGAAGGTGCTTGTTGTGCTTTGTTATGGCTCTTCCTGCAGCAGGCATTACTGCTTGCACTATTTGTTTTTAAATGAGAGCTGCTCTCCTGGCTCTGAGTGCCTCCCTGGTTTGTATCCATCTGTCTGTTCTCCTTGCATTCGTTTACGTGCTCTGTTCTGATGCTGGCAGTACTGGATGTCAGTGAATACTTGGAGGTGCAATCTTCCTTTCTGTTTTATTGATGATTCATGCTGTTAGGAGATGCTTCCTGCCTTTCCATGACTTAGAGAAAGCAATCCATTTCATAACATCTCCTTACTCTTAGCAGAGCTTATACTTTGTTCCCAAAACTCCCACTGTTTTCACTGCAAGCATGACCAGACTGTGAAATAGCTTGGCTGGTCTGGTGAATAATCTGTTAGACTCCTTTAATAAACGGCAGTTGTATTTATCTTACTCCATAGGGCTTTTCATCTCAAAACATTTGAGTGCAGAAACTGTCCAGTAGTGAAATGCAGCCGTCTCTCTTGGAAACAGAGTGGGAGGCAGACAGGCGTTTTACTACACGGTTTAGAGTGAGAGGAATTTTGTTTAAGGACAATGAGGGAAACTGAGCTTGTGTGCTCAATGACCCTTTGATCTTCCACGTTCATGCTGAGCTGATCAGGACTTTAAATCTAAGCTCTGTCTGCTCCTACCCATAGCAAACGGCCAGAAATGTCCCTCATTTAGGGCCCGAGCCTGCGCTAGAACGGCAGCACTGCAGTGACATCTGTTCAGCCTTGCATGTCTCCTGTCTGCTTGTTATTTCTATGTAGCTGTTCTGGGGTGGGTACTGGTTGTACTTGCAGGAGTAAATGGGGGAGGGTTAAAGTTATTTTGCTGCATGTTTGTAAGCTGAGGAACTGGGCAGCGCTGCAGCACTGAAGGCCGCTTTCTGGAGCGTGCTGCTTAGGTCAGTCCATAGCTGTAAGAGAACCCTAAAGCTGTGTGGTGTTTGCTCAGTGTGATGAAATGACTGTCTGCCCAGGGCTCTGAAAGCTGAGGAAAGTTAACCAGTGGTGAGGTTGGTCAACTCTGTGCGAGGAGAGAAGGCTGTAGAAACCGCTGTGGCAGATGCAATAGGAGTGGACAGACACAGTATGATAACGTGGATCCTTGACCTGCAGTCTTTGAGCAGTTGTAAAAGCTTGTTACTTCTGCTACCATGCAGCACATCATTAGGAAACTTAATTACTGGGAGGTGACTACATTGCGTAGGCTAGAGCGTAGCCTGCAGGAATGTAGGAGCTTTAATTTTACAGCACTTGTTTGTGGTGTATCTCTCCCCAGCAATGGCACAGCAAGGGCTGATCTTGTTGCACATGAAACAAACTCAGCTGGCTGATAGTGTGCAGCTCATCTGAGCTAGCATGGCTGCAGCCCCTTGATAGGTGACAGCTGGTGATGTCTTGCTTCTTCCTATGTGATAAAGCAAAATGTGGATTTTTAAGGCTTGGAGGAAACATTGGATGAAAGCAAAACTTGGACTTGAGACAACGTGGTGCTTCGCTTAGCTGTGCTGAGCCACTTTCATTGGAGTAGTCCTTGCAATATTTATAGCATGAGATATGGTAAGAACAGCCAGAGGCACAGCTGTGTGACCTTTATGCTAAAACAAAACAACACAGAGGAGTGAATATTTTTACTCTGTTCCAGCTGTAAGTATTGGGTTCAAATTGCAGTGCCTTAAAAGTGTGGCAAAGAAACTGAAAGGTGAATTTGAATTCATAGGCTGGAATGACTGACAGAATCCTGGAAGAAGGCCGAGTGAGCTGCCAGCAGTAGAAAGAAGTCACAATTCTCTGTTTGGCCTTTAAGAACACTTTATGTCCCCCTGAACGTCTTGCTTTGTGTACTGGGGAGGAGATATTTTCAGGAAGGGCATCCTTGATATGAAGGAATGTCTGTATGCAGAATGGCAGCCAAACTTTGAAGTTCTGCTTGGTGTGATTTTTTTTTTACCTTCTTTCTGCTTTGGGAGCTGGAATAGGAAGAACTGTTGGGAAAGCAGGCACCTGAGGACCTTTGCTTTGTTTGAAACTTAATTTCAGGATGAGAGAAGGAATGCGTAGATAAAAGCATTCACCAGAAAACAGTTTAACTGTTCAACTCCCAGAATTGCCCTTAATGGTGCTGCTGTTCTGGAATGTTCTCCAACTCTTAAGACAGTCTTGAACAGAGATCACTGTGCCTCTCTGTACAGCTGCCATTCTTGAGTGTTATCAGATCTAGCAAGGAGTACTGCAAGAAGAGATAGGGCTGATTAGTTTGATGGGTGGCATTCTGTTTGTTTACCAAGATCTAATAACCAAAGCTGTGGCTTTTATCTCATCTTTGGTTCCATCAGGAGGTACATTCTGTCCTCTTTCAGCAACTGAAGCACTGCAATATTCGCTGCCTCTTCCCCCTGCAGGGTTTTTCTAGAAGCAAGACGATTGCACTGTCTAGTTTCCCATCTGTTGCCTGATTACATGCAAATAGAAACAGGCGGCCTTGTGAGCAGAGATACAGGAAGAGGATGGGGAGTGCTGCTCTGCTGTGATAGCCACTGGGGGAGGCCAACCGCCTGCTGCTGTCATAACCTCTCCTCTCCAGAGAGACTGGCACGAAGCCCAGGCTACTTTGCCATCTCATGCCATCCCCCTTCTCTTATCTGGCTTCCCAGAAGCCTGGATGGGACCAATCTGCCCCACCCTTTGTACTGGGATGAGTGCTTCCTTGCCCTAATCCCCCACAGCTGCACCCTGCTGCAGGCAAAGTGCAGGCTGGGGCCTAAAGTGGGCATTCTGCTGTGGGTTTGGTAGAGGTACGGCTAGAAGAAAGGGTGAATCGTAATGACGCTTATTTGAGGCACACTGACCAAAATACAAGTGTTGTAGGGGACTGGAACAAGGGATAGGTGCAGATGTTGTGAAGCCTTTCAGGAGGCTAAACAGAATGGTATAATGGTGAGGTTTAAGTGGCACCCGTGAACAGTAGTGATCCTTAGGGAACAGAAAGTCAAAGGATGGTAATGGCTGGCTGCTGAGAGCCCTGGATAGGGAGAGAGAAATCTGCATTTGCTGAGAGGTCCAGGACGAAAGGGACTGAGGCACAATACAGCAGCCAAAACTTGGAAAAAGGCCCGCGATCAGGTTTGCATATGCTGAGCACTGCAAAGCTGCATTGCCTCCCCTAAAAATCCTCAATGTTCCCCCTCTCCTGCAGCCCTTCCCAGAAGGCTGAGGCCCAAGCACAGGATGAGCAGCAGGCCACGTAATGCCCATACCTGTGTCTGGCAGAGCTGCCCTGCTGTATCCCAGCACTTCTGCTTTACCTGTGTGTATATATGTGTGTGTATCTAAGCTCAACCTGGTAGGGCTTCTGGTGAAACATTCTGAATTTCAGGTGTCTGAGGCATACAAAAAAATGGCAGACTCATTTGGCAGTAAAACGTGTTAGAATTTCCTTCTGCAGCGTGTTTTTATGCCTGAAAGACAACAAACGTGAGCATGAGTGGAAAAGAAGACAGCAAGCAGCTTACACAAAGCTCAGCTCAGGAGCACGGATGTGAGGGCTGAAGGTTGTGAATAGGGGCAGGCAGGAGGCTGCTATGCCTGCTAGCTTGGCTAGCTGTTTGCACAGCTGGCCCATTGCAGAGCAGATGTGGGGGTGCCAGCACGGTGCTTACCCCGTGGGTAGGGGTTGTTCTACTTTCTGGTTTGCGGCACGGTGTCAGGCCATGCGCTCTGCAAGCTGCGGGAGTCTCGGCGAAATAAAAAAAGCCGTACGTTTAGGGGATGGCATGTGGCACAACAGCACCGGTATAAATTGGGCCAGGGCCTCGAGCCTCGCTCTCTTTGTCTGGGCCGAGGGGAGGCCTGGGCCGGGCCCGGCGCCGCCAGCCGCGAGTGGAGGGGAGCGGCCTGCGAAGGCGAAAGAGAAACCGCGTCCGGGGGCGTGAACGCCGCAGCGTGCCCCGCCGCTGATTGGCCGCCTGGCTGCCGAACACAAACACTGGCGACTCGCTCCGATTGGTGTTTGCAGGGAAGGGAGCTGGAGTGGGCACGCGATTGGTTCCACGCGGTAGGGCGGGATTTCCGTGGCGTTCTCCTGTGGTGATTGGTTTTGCTGCGGCTATGAGGAGGGCGAAGGGGCGGGACTTGAGGATCTCGTTAGGCAGTGATTGGCTCTGACGAAAGGGATGACGTTTCTTGAGGATGGCAGCGTTTGCGATTGGCTACATTTACAGCGCGTGCGGCGAGGACCTCGCGAGGCGTCTTAATTGGCTTCTGCTAAGGGGGCGGAGCCTCGCCGCAGCTACCCCAATGAGCACCGGGCTCCTCCCGCTAACCCCGCCCCCGAGCGCTGATAAGCGGTGGCAGCGGCGGTGGGCGCTCAGTGCAGCGGGTCGGGCCGGGCATGGCGGGTGCTGCGAGCACGTCCTGCTGCCGCGGCGGGGCGGGGGGGCTCCAGCCGCTCCGCGCTACCGTCCCCTTCCAGCTCCAGCAGCGCCGCGGCGCCAGCGGAGACGGGGGCCGGGCAGGTAACTGCGGGTACCTCCTCCACCAACCGAGCTCCGGTGGGGCTGTGCTGGGGGTTGTAACCGGCACCGGGGGACCCCTCCCGGGCACAGGCAGCGTCTGGTCCCGGAGCGCAGCCGCGGTGTGCTGTGATATCAATTCCCTTCCCCCCCGCTCGGGCCCGGGCGGTGCTGCGCGGCCGCGCTCGGGTCTTTAGGGCGCTCCAGTCACCTCTGAACGGCCCGGGAGACAGCGCGTGGAGCTGGGGCCGAAACTCGGGAAGGGAGGGGAAGGAGAGGCCCGGGGAGAGCAGAACGTGACTGCGGGGGGGAGGGGGGGAGGATAGGGGAGCGGTCGGGACAAAGCCGAGCTCCGGCCCCACGCGTGGGGAGAGCTCCGCTCGGGGGTGGCTCCCAAAACCCGGCCCTTTGTTCGGTACCGCCGTGTTACAGCGGCGGTGACTCGATTTCCCCTAATTCATCCTCAGTCGCATCGCGGAGGTTTCTTCCTGACTACTTCAGAAACACTGACTGAAATAGAACTTTTTGGTGACCTCTTCTCAGCCTTCGGCTTTCCTTTATGTGCATATGGATGAGCTGCTCGTGGGACTGCTCCTGGGGGTCGGATTCTCGTTTGGCTGTAAATTACAGCGAGAAGCACTCAAATAAGCAACCAGAGCGTTTGGGTCTTAACTGCAGTCTTCACCGAGACTGCATGGCAGCGAGGGGTGTTTGCCTGCTCGGCCGGGCAAGCAGCGTGCTGCTCCCATACTGAATGCAGCAGCTGCTTCCTCTGCCCTGCAGAAAGGAGTGCTGCAGCCCGTCCCGAAATGAGAATTAATAGCCTTTCGCGAAACACTGTGCTCTTCATTGCTTGCGATTGAGTCTCTCGTGCCCCTGGCAGGGTTTGCATTGATCAGAGGAGCTATTAGAAAGCTACTTGCTCAATTTACACTTGAACCAAGTTAATGAAATAAATGTTGAGTGCTGGGCTCTTCTTCCTTCACAGCACTGTGCTGAAAGGAAGGTGAACTTGCTGCTAATAGGGCAATTATTCGGTAGCTTCAGATGTTACCAAAAATCAAACCTCAAAGAAAGGAGAGGCAGGAGGCTGCCTGCAGCCTTCAGCTGTGGGAGCTGAGTGCTGTGCCTGCACACTGCAGCGTGCAGCTTTCCCGGGGCAAAAAGGCTGCAGCTCCGCTGACACGAACCAGAATTGCTGCTCTTCATTTCTTCCTGGCTCTGTGCCTCACTGCTGGGGCTGTAGCAGCTTGATTTTTTCCTCTTGATCATAGGCATTTCGTATGCAGTTTTGTAAGTGTTTGAATTTCCATTGCTCTCTGCCTCAGTCGTAAGCCTCAATTTGCTCCCTGCGTGTGTGGGAGCAGCACACTGGCAGGCTTTAACCAAAAACTGCTATCGTGGTGATTCACCATCTGAGAGCTCTGCTCCCACCTTTTGGGAGCTGGGGTGGAAACGTGCTGCTTTGTCACCTCTTCCCCTTCTGTCTCAGCTGCCTTTCTGCATTGCTCTGGAGCTGCCTGGTTTTACAGGGATCTCTGTGCTGAGAGAGATGCTGTGAGATCCAGGGGCTGATCCTGCAGCTGCTCTGATAATAGAGGATCCCATTGAAACGAGGAGCAGCTGTTGAGTCTCTCAAAGGGCTTCTGTTGAAAGGGAGAGCTGAAGCTGGGGGATGCCAGGAAGTTGGGCTGAGAGTCTTTGAAAGGAGTTGACTTGCTGCTTAGAAATGGAGATATCACATTCATCGCTAGGCATCGTGACCTGTGCCACTGCTGTCTTTTTAAATTCTGTATCATCTTGAAAGTGCTCCGGCTTTCAGTGGTTAGGTGGGTCTGTTCTGATTCCTCCATGTTCAGGCCAAACCCATCCCTGCTGCGTTCGTTTCTCCCAGGTGAGGTGGACCTGGGGCTGATGGAGCTCTGTGGGGATGGAGGGCCTGAAGCTGAAAGCAGCCCATGGCACTGCTTGTGCTGTGTGTGCTCTGGGTTGTTTCCTCCCAAGCCCACACTGAAGCTCCTGCAGCATTGGAAGTTCCTCCCTCAGGCCTCCATGCTCGAGTTGCTTTGAGCTCCAGTCTTCCTCATCACAGAACTGAAACCTGGTTTTCTAAAGTAAGACGACCAGAAGTCTTTATGCTTTTTCCAGTGCAGCACTAGAGAAATAGGATTATTGAAATAGGAGCTTACATTTTAATGTGTGAACGTAGCATTTTGAGAACGTAAGCAGGTAAGTAAGCTTAGCTGTCTTAATTGGATCATGCACAGAGAAAAAGAAGATGGAATGGAGTAGAACAGCAAAGTCACGTTTTGTGTTACGAGTTCAGCAGTTTTTAGGACACTTCATTAAAATCAGAGTAAGTGAGGGTGAGGGCTGGACAAGAAGCTGCCTACCAGCTGCTCTTCCAAGCAGTGCTGGGGTTGATTCCTTGGAAGGAGGTAAGGCTGTGCCTTTGTCTTCTAAGCCCTGTGCAGGTTTGTCAGTGACGGTGTGGCAAAGGAGAAGGACAGCAGCAGAACTGCAGATCGTCCTCCAGGAGCGTCTGACAAATGCTGGGCACCAATTCATGTCCCTTGTGAGCCTCTGAGTCTGAATCCTCACTGATGGCCAGCAGGCTTCCCTCACCAGCACTGCTGCTCCAGACCTGTGTGTACCTTGCAGCTTTTCAGGAAGCTGGTTAGCTGGGCTGACTCATCTCCTTGAGATTTCATTGCTTGCCTGCTCAACTTGCTTGCTTCTGAGATGTCCAGTTGTTTTGCTGCGTGGATCCTGAAGTAAGCAGACTGCCAAATAGCTTTATTTGGTATCTGAATGAAAGCCATGCCAGACGAGTGGGACACTTTGTAGGCAGTACCGTCCGAGTGTGTGTTTAGCAGAAAGAAAATGTCTGTTTACCTCTTGGAAATGCTGCGGGAGGGCTGCCTGCTTGATAGAGCAGTGCTGGTAACAGCATCTCTTCTTCCCTTTGCAGGCCTCAAACAATGAGTGTGGGGGTCTCCTTTCTGCCTCCCCCATCTTATTAGTTGAATTTGGTAACTGCTTCAGGCCTCGCTGTGTTTGCTTTAGGAATTGGTACCCAGTGGTGTTTCTGTATCCTGGGGATGTGTGCGAAGGCTCTCGTTACCAAAATAGCGCTCCAGATGTTCGTGGTGTCTGCTCCTGAGTTTCCCTTTATGCTCTTTGACACCTGCAGCTGTTTAGGGGGGCGCTTAAGCAAATGAACAAGGAGCACACAGATCTGCATGGTCTGTATCACAAGTCTGATGTGAAACTGAGAACTTGTAGGGAAGGAGCATCAGAAGGAGCAGTTCGTTGGGTACCAGCTTTCCAGAAAAGAAACAAAAGCCCTCAAGTGTGGATGCAGAGAACTGCCATGGGAAAACTGCTGCCCTGTGCCAATGGCTGCTTTGCAAACTTTGCTTTCCCAAACGTTGGGATGCTCTGGAGTTCTGCTTTTGCCTTCAGGGTTTTGCTGTGGGAAAACAAGCTGATAGAAATAAAGGGTTAAGCACAGGCAGAGCTGCAATGGGGAAAAGCAGTCGTGTGGAGACTGATTTGGGATGGGAAAGCCCTGGAGATGCCCTGCTGCTGTGCTCTCCAGGAAGAATCCCGCTTCTGTCCTATGAAATCAAATCACTGCTGGTATAAAACAGCTGAGCACAATGTGTGGCTCAGGCTTGGGGTCGGAGCATTGCAGGTGGCTTTGTTTAATGTAGAACGAGTTTCTGGCCGAGTAATTGGAGCCCATTCATGGCATTGCAGTCCTCAGCTGATACGGATCGTACCTTCCATCTAAACCTGCTGCTCCCAGTTTGTCAGCCTGTGGATACGGGTGTGGGAAAGGGGAAACAAAGGACACATCTATAACTAATCTTGACTTGTGTTGACGTTCTGTGGGTGAAACGAGTTTTTCCCTGCTTTCAAACGCTGGAGATGACATTTAAAGGGAAACGTGCAGGAAGCAGCAGCGGGGCCACGCGGTGAATTTGATCTGCCCCTTTTATAGCAGAATGCTCCGCAGGAACACTCAGCTCATTTGCCCTACATGGATGTTTGCTTCTGGATCTTTCTATCAGCTGGGGTTTGTCTCTCAGAGCTGCGTGGAGCACAGCCGAGTTCTCACATTTGTTGGGTAAGAACTGGAAGAACCTGGGCACTGATCTGTGCCGTTCCAGGTGGGGTGAACGTTTCCCTGTGTGACTGTGTGGTGCAAAGGAAAAAACAAGTGCTGCCAGAGAAGTGATGCTGAGCACCAAGTGCAGCAAGTTCTCTTTTATGCAAAGCTTGGGTGTTGAAATAGCGTGTGCATGGCAAGACCTTTAAGCTGCACTGACTGCAGCAGGTTGTCTTGGCACTTTCCCCATTGCTCGTGCAGTTCAAGGTGACGGCACCGAGGCACTGGGTGCGATTGTGCTTGTACAAAAGATGTCCGTGCAGGGGTACAGGACTTGTAAAATCCATTCCCTTTGGGAATTTATGTTACTCAGGTCTTTTTTGCGTTAAAAATGATGCCTGTGGTGCTGCCTGTGGGCACCTGGTCTTTCTGGGATGGTTGTAGAGGAAACCAGGCAAGCGTTGAAGATGGCGTGGTTGGTCTGCACAGTGGGAGAGATGGCTGCTTCCGTGCTGCCTGCAATGCCTGTGTGCCACTGCACAGAGCTGCTGCTCCTGCCCTCCCTGTGCTTCTCCCACTTTGCCATCCTCTCAGTCTGCAGGAGTTACTGAGTGCAGTTCCTGGCTTGGTCCCGTGGCTGCTGCCCTGCAGTGCTGTTCAGGCTGGTGCTGCAGTGAGCTGATAGCAGCTGTGCCGTTCTGCTGCTCCAGGTGGGAGGCACAGGGAAGGCTGTAGGAAGGAGTAGCAGATCCTGTGGCTTTATTCTTACTTCTTCTCCCTGATGAAGGCTTTTCTCAATAGTTTCACACTTGGACTCTGCAGGCTCAACTGAAACTCATCCTAATGATGGCTGTGAAAGAGAAAGGGAGAAGGGCTTGTTGTGCAGCTTGGTGAGATTTATGTACCTGTATGTATAAAGCACAAGCCTCCTTTTTCCTTGTTTTCCAGCTTGATTGTAACTGTAGAAATACTGAGGATGTCTTTGCTGTGTTTGCTTTACTTTGTACTGGAAGATTTCCAAGGGCTCAGGAATCAAAGGTTCCTCACCTTGGCCCTGCCTTCCGCTGAGATCTTGGTTCCTAGATGCTTATCAGAATTGATTTAAAGAGGTGTAACAAAAAGGGGGGGAGGAAGACACCCCCGGCTCTGCTTTCATAGCTGGGGTTTCACTGTTCTGATAGGGATGTGGGTGATCTGAGCAGCTCCTTGGTCGCCACTCTTTTTCCAGATCAGAGTGAACATTACCTCAAAATCTGAAGTTGGAATTTTGCTCATCTCTAAACCACCCTTACAGTCTGTGAGAGGCTGCCTGCCTGCCCTTCTGTTTTCTTCTGATCTTCCACCAATTTCAGCATCCAGAAGCCCATCCAGAAACACAGCCCTCCTGCCAATGGGAGCAGATGGGTTTGCGGTGTGTTGGCCCAATGGAGGAAATGTTCACTTGGACCAAAGGCTCTGAGGAAGCTGAAATTCTTCAGATTGTTTTCTCATTTGGAAAACAAACTTTGAAAGAATTAAGATGAAGGTGAAAAGTTCAGCTTGTTTCCTCCATTCAGGGTGCTCAGTTCCAGTCCCTGGGCCGGGGAGCTGCTGTTCTGACTGTCCCAAGCAGCCTGAGCTGCTGCTGGCTCTTACTGATCTCTTCCTGTGATATTTATGGCTGCTCTGTCCAGCTGTATTCACTGCAGCATCCAACCAGCAGGGCTGGGAGCCTGGGATCCCTTTGCTGGTGCTGCAGACCCCTGGCCTGGAGGTGTTGGTGCTCTTTGCCCTTGGCTGCAGGACGCTGCAGTCCTGCTTTCCCAGCGCTGTTCCCAGTGTTTCATGTGCAGGAGAAGCCCTGAAGCAGAGGCAGATCTGTGTTATCCCCAGGGCTGTGTGCTTTCTGCTTTTCTCAAGCCATGTGCGTATGGTTTGAGCAACAGTCATGAGGGGGATTGCAGTCCAACCACAGCTTCTGTCTCCTCACCGGAAGGTGCCATGGATTTCCCTGCCTTTCTGTGTTAATGTACATTGCAAAGAGCTCTGAAATCCCATCCTGGTACAACTGTGAGTTGCATATCTTCTTAAAGGACAAAGGAACCAAAGCTTGAAAACGTGGCCAGAGGTGGAGATGTCAATTGTTTCCTTTGCAGTCCTGTGGCAGGGCTGGATGCCAGAGGTTTTGCTGTGGCACTCAGTTCATGATGTGGTTCCAGACCTTCCTCGTCCCTCAGTAGCCGTATGCTTGCAGTCCTTTCTGGATCTCTCATCGATTTCTGGTCAGAGCTTGAGATTTACTGTCACCTCTGCTTCCAGGCACCTGGCTGGAGCTCTGTCCGTTCTCTGCATGCTGCCTCCCAGTGCTGCTCCAGCTCTGTGGTGCTTTGGTGCCCATTTGGTGCCCATCTGGTCAGCTGTGAGTCCCTGCAGAGCGCTCTGCCTCTGCCTGCAGATTGCTGTGCTGCACAAAGCAGAGGATTTAAAGTTTTATTCTATGTAGAACTGCCTGCTTGCTTGCTGCTGAGAATTCAGTGCTATATGGCAGCAACCTGTCAGGTAGCCTGATTGATTCACCCTGGTGGGACTGAAGAGAGGCTGAAATGAGACCTGAACAGCTTATAACATCAGGGCTTCAGTTCTGATCTTGATTTCCACCATCTGCACTGCTGATCACTGTTCTGCCCTCGGTCAGGAGCGTCCCCTGGGTATGGGCTGCATTGTAAAGAGCATTGCAAGGTGTGGGTAAGAGAAGCTGATGCAGAACTTGAATAATCAGCTGTAATTTCTGTTACAGTTGGGTGGAAGATATTTGCATGAGTTAATTATTGACCGAGTTGCTTAGGTTCCATTTCAGCCTGATGCTTCAGGAATGCTAACAGTTCTTGCTTAAGCCATTGAGAGGAAAGCTGTGTCCCAGAGCATTCCCTGTGCCTGGTTGGTGCAGAACTCAGGGGCTGAGGCTCCCGTTGCTCTGTGGTTCTCTTTAAAGCTGGCTGTATTGGAACGTGGGCTGTTGTTTCATGCTCTGTCACTTTAAGGCAGACTTCTCATGGCCGTGTTCCAAAAAATGTCAGGGTCTGAACAGCACGTCCCTCAATCTCTAAACAGCCTTCTGATGTGAGAGGGTGGGTTTCCCCAGGGTGAAATTGAGGGAAGGAAGGAATAAAATTTTACAACTCCAAAAAGAGAGCAGTAGTGGGAGCACTGTTGTTGTTTGCCATCATTTGTGGATTCAGCTCCAAGTGCTGCTCACTGAATGGTGACTCTGGAAAAAGGAGAGATCCTTTTGGTTGTTGTTTTAATCAATGGACTGTAGGCGTTTCTCTTTTTAGACGCAGTGATGGTCTGGCCCAGGGTGGTTTTGGAAGCTCTGAGCTCCCCGTGTTGTGGCTGGGAAAGACCAGAGATCCTGCAGATCCAGAGCTCCATCCTGAAGGCTTCCTGCTTGTGCTTGCATGCATCACACCGATCTCCTGAACTTGGGGATGCGTGCAGCAATCGGAGCAGCCCAGTGGCTCCTGGAGGCGCAGCGATAGCTCTCTTATCTCCAGCAGCTTTGCTGTCACGTGAGAACTAAAAGCACCACAGCCAACACTTCCCAGCTGCAGAGCTGCCCAGACCCAGCACCGGTACCAGGTGGCAGCTGTGCAGCTCAGTGCAGAGCGCTGATAACGGCTCAGGGCTGCAAACAGGACGCTCCACCCTGCTGCAGCACCCTGCAGCCATGGCACGGCCTCCCTGCGTGCTGCTCACAGCCCAGCTCTTGCCTTGTGCTGCTCCTGATGGAGCTGCTGTGCTGTGGATCTGTCCCTGCTGTGCTCCAGGTGCTCGTGGGCTGAGTTCAGGGGCAGCAGCCACACGGGATGGAGGTGTGAGTGTGTGAGGAAGCTGCAAACGCTGAGTTTCTAAATTAGTGGTAGCTGTCTTAGGCTATTAACTGTTGGAAGCGGGGAGTGTGGCTTGAGATGCCAGCTGGGCCAGCACAATAAGCCTTTAATCCTGTGTGGACCTTGTGAGGTGTGGCTGTGGTGCAAGGACTAATGCTATTCCAGCCCTCCCACGTGGCTTTTTGTCCCTACCCTTCTCACCTGGAACTCAAATTCCACTTCTCAAATGGTATTTTAACTGATAAAAAGAGGTATTTACCCAGCCACGTCCCCAAGCAGTGAGAGCTGAGACACCTCTGTAGAGGAATTTGGCACACAGCGTGGTGCTGGGCAGTCCTGATGCTGGCTTCAACGTGGACAACTCACTGCCAGCCTTACCTTGAGTTTGGGGAGGAAGGAGAGAATGTCTGTGCACAGCACACCTGGAGCAGAGCTGCTCGTGGCCTCACTACCCTGCCAGGAGGCCATGGGGCTGATTCTAATATGCATGGTAATTTGCATGTCTAATCAAAATGAAATGCAAACAGACTTTTCTGCTGGCTTGAACTTGCCTTTCATGATTGCTGCTTTTTTGGGTTTGGTGATAACAGCTTTCAGCTGCAGGAGAGGGCAGCTGTGCTGTTGCTGTTTGAACTACTTGTATGCAGGAAGCTTTTCCTCCTCGCTACCGTGGTAAAAATCTGCACGGGTGAGGGGTGGTCACCTCCTGGAAGAGGGAAGCTGGGCAGAGCAGGTGCTGGGCTGCAGGGTGGGTGCTGGGGTCCTGCCAGCCTGCTCTGGGTCACAGCAGCACTCAGGTTGTACTCTTCCTTCCTGCTGGTTGCTGGGCGAGTGCCTGCAGCTGCCAACGGCAGTGAGGGTTCAAGGCTGCCTGCAGGATCCTGAGCTGTGCAGGTGTTCTCTTGGCCTCCCTTAGCTGGGAGCAGATGACTGTGTGCTTCCTCTGCTGAAGTGAAGGCGTGCAGGCTGCCCAGCACTGCTGGGCCTTCCCACGGGAGGAGCCCGGGTTCTTGCAGCTGAAGCACTGCGCTCCAGCTAATAAGAAATGGGGCTCTGTGGACATCGTGGTGTTTTTTCCCACGCAGAAGCAAGGTTGCCCTGTTGAGCACTTCAGCCGCTCGTGTGGCAGCTCCTTTGGCTTAGGCTGGAATGTCTGATCACTGGTTTCAAGCAGGCACTGAAGGGCTGCAGTAAAATCTCCTGTTGTACAGAAGCAGTCGCTCAGCGATAAGGGAGGGCAGGAGCTCCACCAGCCCTCACTGACCCACTCTGCTGCGTGGTTCTGATGGCCCAGGAGCAGCAGTGCTGTGCTGTGCAACGTGGCCTGGGCACCAGAGCTGCTGCTGCTGCGGGGCTGGGAGCTCAGGGACTTCGTTAGCACTTAGATTTTCAAGAAGCAAATGAGCTTCTCCAGGTTCTGTGTGCTCCCTCCCTTCTTGGGATCTCTGCAGTGGATGTGGGCTTGCTGGCGGGGGTGGCTGTTGCTGGAGCTGTGCTTTGAGAGCCTGAACGTCCTCTTCTCTTCTCTCCTGTGTAGCGAGTGTTCCCTGCGCTGCTGCTGCTGCAGAGAAGCCCTGCCGGCCCCGGCAGCCCCGCGTGCGTCGCACCTCCTCACTGGACACCATCGTGGGCTCCTACCTGCTGGGGCAGTGGCCACGGGATGCTGACGGAGCTTCTGCCTCGTGCATGAATGACAAAGCTACCCAGGTATGGATGCGGGCTGTGCAGGAAGTCCCTGGGCCAGGAAGGGGCTGCAGAACTGCAATGGCTGTAAACTGGGCAAAGAGAGGAAATGCTGCATTCCCCTCCATCCAGCTGCAGCTTTCTAGGAAGGCTGTTTTTCCCCTTGTGCTTTTCAGCTCCATGATTCCATTTCGGTGCAGTTAGAATTTCCTTGGCCTTGTTTGGAGGCAGATGGCCTCTGGCTTTCTGCTCCAGCCCTGGCTCACTGCTCGTTTTTTTTCTGGCTTGCAGCTATGGGCCAAGTCCTTATATAACACGCATGGGCTGCGTGCCACACGCTGAGACGGTGAGGGTGCTCCCACAGAAGGGCTCACTAACACAGCACAGCTCTACTGTAGGATGGAAAAGCTCCAGACCTCAAGGAACTCTTAGCAACCTGTAAATATTACTGCATGGCAGCAAATAGTGCTCGCCTATCTGCAGAGGTGAAGGAATTCAGGAGGATAAGAGCATCCGTTAGCTTAGCAAGCCGTTTGTTTAGCACTCTCAATCTGTGTTAACTTGCTGTTTGATCTTTGCTGTTTGACAATTTATTCCTGGGCTGTTTGCAGGAAGTTCCCAACTTCCCTTGTCCTTTCCCACTGTGTTCTGCCTGCTTTTGTTTCAGTCCTGTGCCCAGCAGCGCTGCAGAGGACGTTCTGGAAAGGAAAAGATTTGTCAACCTTCATTTCTGAGCGAGGGAAGCGCGCTCCTCCTTTCTGTCTCAAGGCAGATGGGTGAGCGCTGAGCTCTGGCACTTTGCAGCCATTCAGTTTCCCTTGCATTTGGTCCTTGTGAGGAGAGGGCTGTGAAGTGGGGGCACCTCCTCAGGATGGAGCTGCTGGCTGTGCTCAGTGGGCCAGCTGTGCTGCAGCCCTGCTATCTGCAGACGCTGATGTGACCTTGCAACGCGCCAGTGAGAGGAGCAGTGATCTCCAGCATTCCACTGGTGTGCTCCGCTGGTTTGTGTGCACATCAGATGACTTGGCTGTTGTGGAAGCTGGGAATGAAGTCCTCTGTTGTGGCCTGCTCTGTGCTCTAACAAAATGTTCCTCCAGGAGGCTGACGCCCCTTCCATGCTGTCAGCTCTGAGCTGGGACTTTCTCTGCCTGTCAGTACGTGTTTACTCTCCTCCTTCCACAGCTACTGATCAGCTGCAGTGCAGAGCTCTGTAGATTTGCTGTCGTAAGGTGCTTAAGTGAGATACAACTGCAGGTGCTCAGCGTGGGGGAGAGTGGCAGCAGCGTGCATGGCTGCAGCCTGCGCCTTTATCTTGCTGTGCAAAGTGTTTTTTTCCCCCCCCTCTTTCTGAGGAAGCAGTTTTGCCACAGTTAGTACAAAAAGTTCTGTAATTTCCTTCTGCCGTGACACTCTGCCTAGAAAAGGAGTGGGATGCACAAACATTCTTTACTTTCAGGTTTTCCTGTTGCGAGAATCATCTCTTCTTCCTTTCTGGGCCCTGTTTCTTGGCAGCCCGGTGCTCTGGGTGTCACAGCAGTAGAGCAGGGTGTTAAAGGAGTTATTGCTTGAGAGTCTTCAGGTGCCTTAAGTTTTTCTCACATCCTGGGCTCTTCCAGCAGCTGAAGCTGAGCTTCCCAGCCTCTCCTTCAGCAGTAACATGAGATGGAGCTGAGTCTTGCCTCTTCTAGCTTTCCTCCTTAGCTTTCCTATGTACGTGATCTGCTGGGATGTGAAATGACACAATGTTCTGGCATCAACACCGAACGCTGTCCGAGTTGTTTAGGAGAGACTATTTGAGGTAGGAAATGAGATCAGTTGTGCCATGTGCTCAAAGTGTGGGGTTAGCCTGAGCTGCAGGACTTCCTATGGGAGCAGCCTGCTCCTCCACGGGGCGGCTGAGGCTGCTCTGAGCTCAGCAGGACCTCGCAGTAATGCTTCAGGCTGAGCAGATTGCTTCTGTCAAACCAAACTGAGTGCTGCACTCTGTGGCAGCTGCTGTGCTGCTGTGCCTGCTGCTCACTGGTCCTGTGGACAAAGACCCAGGCAGGACACGCTGTGGTGGGAATGGTGTGCCCTGCTTTGGGGGAGGGGGTGCAAGGAGGGGCTGCATTGGAGCCTGTGACTTGGGGCAGGGTTGGATTTCTGTCTGGAAGTCTTCTGCATCCAGTTACCAAAGGAAAGCCTGGTACCTCTCCAGGTAACCCGCCTTGTTCCTTTGGTTTCAATACATACTAAAACACATTTTGAGAGAAGAGGTTTCTGTCATCCTGCTGACTCGATGGGGCTGCTTCCAACAGCTGCTGTTCTCGCAGTGGCCTCAGGGGAGATGCAGAGCTGCTTGGAGAGGAGTTGTTCTCAGGCCCTTGCACCTCCGGGCAGCCCGTCCCTGAGGATGGAGGAGGGGAGCGCTGTCAGAGCCTCCCACAGCACGGCAGGCAGTGGGGACAGGGGCTGGGTGTTTTGAGAGGGCCTGACATGCAATGTTGGGAAAAAGCAGCCCTGCAGCTGATGTGCCTTGGGAGCGTTCTGGTGCTGGAGGCTCCGCTGAGCAGGACTGAGTTCAGCGGAAGGAAGTTCACACCCATGGCCGATCAGATCAGCGGCCCCTTCTGACTGCCATTGATGCTCATAACGTGGCTGTTGCTTGGAAAACAGCTGTGCAGTGCGCTGGGGCTGTTTTTGTGCACCAAGAGTCAGCTGAGAGCTGCCAGCCCTTCAGCCAGTGAGCAGCACAGGCAGCTGGGCTCTTGCAGCACTCCTGCGGCAGCGTCGAGTCTGCAGGCCAAACCCTGCTTTTGGTTACGCCTTTGAACTGCGATAATGGGAGCCTGAGGTCTCAGAAGCAAGCTGTGTGTTCTCACAGCTGGGTGAGGCTTTTCCTCTCTGTAAGGCTGCTGTGTACAAACGAGTGCTTGTGTCTCTACGTCACCCTGCTTTGGGCTGCAGCCCGCGCAGGCAGCGCCAGGGCGTGAGGAGCAATGGCTGTGCCTCACGTTGCCAGGTACCCGTGGGAATTGAGGCACTGCCTTCCAGGCAGCTCAGTTGCCATGCAGGTCCGTGGGGCCCAGTTTTCCTTCAGAGGCACAGATTCGGTTAAAATGGTGAGGTTTTGGTGAGTGCTGAAAGAATTCGGTGTGCTTTACTGAGTGACAGTGGGGGAGGACTGGAGCAGGGCTGTGAAGGAGCAGCAGTTGATCGCTTTTATTCTTTCGGGCTCTCCCAGCAGCCTCAGAGCAGTAAGGGTTGCGATCGTTCTCAGCAATGTTTCTCCTCATTCAGACCCCGGTGTCCTGGCATGATGCAGAAGTGGGAAAAGCCAGCTCCAGTGCTCACAAGCGTTCTGCTTCCTGGGGTAGCACAGATCACCGCAGAGAGGTAAAACAGATCGCTCCCAGCACTTGAGCAAGGTCTGTGTTAGCTGCTGACGTGCAGGAGGCTCCTGCTTGCATGGGAGGGGAGTGGGAGGACGGGGTTGTAGTGTTAGATGAGATGTTAGCCCTCATTCTCACCCCTAATGCTGTGCTTGGACAGGAGGCTGATCTCACAGGCAGCTGTTATAAAGAAACTCCTCTGGAGCTCAGCGCATTGCTGGTAGGTGTCACAGTGTGCGTGGGCTCCAGCAGGGCCTGGTGCTGCAGGTGGAAGACAACCCAGATGCAGCGGCGCTGCCCACGTTGCCAAGGGGCAGCTTTTGGTGAGGCCTCGTGGGCAGTCCTTGCTCATCCTTGGAGAGGCAGAGCAGCTTGTTGTGCGATGGGAGCTGACACTATTTTGGCACTTCCTCATGGGGCGAGAGAGAGGAGAGGAGAGAGACAAGGTGTGATGATTGATTTTTGGTGGAGGTGTATTGGCTTGCCTCGTTCTGCAGCTGAAACTTTATTTGCTAGATTGCCAAACTGAAGCAGCAGCTCCAGCGAACGAAGCTAAACGGCAGAAGTGGCAAAGAAAAGGAGAAGAGCTCCCCACTGCAGGGGGACCACGCTGTGCTTGGATCGCTGCGGGTAGGTTGATGTAGGCTCACACCTCCCTGTGCTGTCAGTGCGTCGCAATGAGATGAGTGCAGACATCCCAGCTGTTCTCAGACTTCTGAGAAAGGGGGTGGGGGGGTGGAAGGGTGGAAGGGGGGCATTTTTTCTTCCTCCTCACTGCTTCAGCAGATCCCCGTGCTCTGACCAGCACTTGGTGGGTTTCTGTGGCTCTTCTGTCAGTCTTTGCCAGTCAACCTCCTCGAAGGCTCTGGCTGAGCACTGAGTGCTGCGACATCGGAATGGAACTGAGAAATGACTGAGTTTGTGCTGCCACAGCTAACATCTTTCACTCTGGGTTGTTGCAGGACTCTCCTTCAGGCTTCCTTTCTCTGTCTCCTGTTTTGAGGCTCAGTCCTTGCTTGCACAGGAGCCTGGAAGGGCTAAACCAGGAACTAGAGGAAGTGTTTGTGAAGGAACATGGAGATGAAGAGCTTTTGAGGGTGAGTGAAGCTTGAAGGATCGCCCTGAATCTCCTGGATGGTCTCTGAATGCTTTCCTCTCGTGACGCTCGCTGCCCACAGCTGCTGCTGGGCTGTGGGGATGATGTCTGTGTTCAGTTCTGGGCACGTAGCTGCCTGAACGGCTCTGGGCTTCCCTCCTTAGACTTGGTGCTGTGGGAGATCAGCCAGCAGGAATCTCAGCAGCACTGAGGCACTGTCTTAGATCAGCATCCAAAGGCTGCTTTGTACCATGCAGGTGTGGGAGGTGATCCCTGCCAGCCTGCGAGCAGAAGTGGCGCAGGGGATGCAGAAGGGTCTGTGTCCTTCTGCTCTGTCTGTGGCTGAGCCCCTGCTGGGAGCCAGCACCCCAAAAAATACCATCTGTAGGTGCAACTGCTTCCTCACCTTTTCTGTGGTGGAAGGGCTGGGTTTCTTCTTGTCCTGCTGAGATTTTGCTTTTTCCCTAGATCTTGGATGTCCCAGATGGCCACAGAGCACCAGCACCTGCTCCGAGAGGCTCTGGGGATGCCTCCCTGATGCTGGAGCCCAGCAGTGGCAGCTGCAGCAGCCTCTCGCTTTCTCCTTCCCCTTCTGTGCCTCTCCGCCTTTCTCCACACACTCCAGTGAGACTGGTGGCAGAAGAACTCTCCTCTGCTGTGGATGAGGTGCAGTTGGATCCAAAAGAAAAAGGCAAGCGCTGAGCCCGTGCAGCTGGGAAGCTGTGGGGGGATGAGGAGGCTGTGTGATGGATCCAAGCTGCAGATGAGGTTGGAAGGGATCTCGGCCACTTTGAATAATGGTGGACTTCCTGAGCCCTGCTAATCGGTCTCCAGGTGGATGCTCTCCTGTTGTGCTGCATGGTGGTTATGAGCAGGGAGCTACACAAATAAAGTGCTTTGGGTTTAGCCCACAGCCACAGGGGTACTGGAAGAGCACGCTTGGGATTAGCTTAAACTTCTGTCGGATCAGATGATCCTATAGGCCGTTTCCAACCTTGTGGTTCTATGATTCTCATAAAAATTTCTTTAAAAGTATCTTTCATCTCTTGTAGAGGAGGGCAGCCCTTCTCCAGTCCTGGCTTTCGCTTCCTCTCCTCGGCCCAACCACAGCTACATGTTCAAACGGGAGCCTCCTGAGGGATGTGAGAAAATCCGGGCCTTTGAAGAAGCTTCGTAAGTGCGAGGAGTTGTGGCAGAGGAGAGCTCAGCTGGGGTTGCTGCTATGGCAGGATGCTGGGGTGGGAACAGCTGAGCCTCCAGTTGTGCTGTTGTGCCCTGCTCTGAAAGTAGGGAACAGCGTCTAAGGAACACTGCAGCAAAACCTTGGCTGCTCGGATCCTGGTGGAAGAGGTGAAAGCTGCCGTGTTAACCCTGAGACACACTGGGAAGGATGTTGCGATTTCTGCCCTTCCTAGGCAGTAGATAACGCTCAGCCAGCACAGCCCCTCGGAAAGAGAGCTGCTTTTCCTGTAAATAAGTGTGCTTTCAAAACAAAACAGCCTCGTCGTGCTGCTCTGTGCATGAGGAGCAGCCCGGCTCACAGCCCAGCGACTCAGCTTTTAGTCAGGCTCTTTGAAGAGCACGCAACCCCAGGTGTTGTCCCTGCAGCTGCAGGCAGTTTGGTGCTCTTGGGGAGCATCTGTTGCTGATCACATCCTCTGTGTCTCTTTCAGCTCCAGCCCTGACCACACCTTTCAGCCTTCCTGCCCGGATAAGAACAAAGTGCACTTCAACCCCACGGGCTCTGCCTTCTGCCCTGTCAGCCTGGTGAAGCCTCTCTTCCCAAACGTGGGCTTTCTCTTTAGCAGGGGCTTTCCAGCATCATCCAGCCCTGGCACGGGCGCGTTTACATCCTGCCAGCCCTCGGCCCCCACGCCATTCCTTGGGGCACGGAAGGACGCTGCTGTAGATAACTTCAGCGACGCCTCCAAGTCGCCTTCACTCAATTATGAACACTGGAAACGTGGGCAGCCAGAGGAGAACGTCGTCTTCCACAGCTCCCTCGTTGTGTGAAGCCTTTGGGAAAGTTAGCCAGCAACAGTAGCTCTGGCTCCTCAGTGCATCTCTGCCATCCCATGGAGATCAGTGCCTTGAGGTTGGGACTTGACAGCCAAGGGGCAGCGCTGGGCCTGAAAACCACAGCGGGCTGCCAAGGATGAAAGCAGCTGTGAAGTACCACGTTCCACAGGACTCCTCGCTGCTGCGGGAGGGGCTCATTTCCCCGAGCCTCCCCTGTTGAAAGCACTTTCCTGCGTTGAATTGTCATTTCCTGTATGATTGTTTTGCTGGTGAAGAGCAGCTGGGCACCCCTGCGGTGGGTGGAGCTGCGCTCCGGGCCTCTGAGTGCAGTTGAGCCGGGAGGATTCAGGTGGAGCTTCCCAGTGCTTCTCATCCCAGTGCTTCTCATCCCTGCTGCTGCCGCTGCCCCGGTGCTTGCTGAGCTCTGGGAGGTGGGAAGAGGGAGAAGGGTCTCGTAGGACGGCTGCTCCAGGGCCGTGGGAGCTGCTGTTGATCTGTATTGGTGACACAGACAGCAGCTGATCTGTACTGGTGACACAGACGGCAGCATTCTCTGCCTGTGCCTCCATGGACGCCTTCAGCCCCTGAACCCCGGAGCTTTGAGGAGCCCTGAGGCAGCTCTGCTGAACAGGGGGTGGGGGAGCGCAGGTGACTGAATGCCGCCTTCTACAGGGGGAGGAAAACTTGCCTTACTGCAAGGAGTGAAGGAGAGAGATGGTGGCTGCTCAGGAATGGCGGAGCTGCCTGCCGGTGTCCCCGGTGCTGCGGCCACATGGCAGGAAGAGAGGATGGGGAAACAAACAGCAGTGCTGGAAGGCACCCGGCCCTGAGCCCACACAGCTGCACAGCGGGGCTGGGGCTGCCTGGGGGGGGGGGGGGGTCGTGGGCCGCAGAGCAGAAAGCAGAGCGGTGACACGAGGACACAGATGGTAAAAAGCCTCTTAACAGTGGCGTTTGGTTGTGTTCTGTTGCAAAGGCTCTGGGTTGTACTGAAGAAGCCTATTTTCTTATATCTGATGTAGAAACTCTATTTTCTTCCAAAGACACTATTTTTGCAGCTGTTTGAAGTTTGTATTTTATGTATGTATTGCAAAGCTTAAAGGAGGAACGTTAGATTTGGAATTGTGTTTAGAGGGGTTTTTGCAGATGCTGGTGTTGACAGTTACATGGAGAAAATAAACTATTTCATGCATCCGACAGCCCTCGTGTTCGGGGAGGGGGGGGGGGGGGGGGGGATTTAATATTCCCGAGTCTGACGGGGGGCGGAGCGCTGGGAGGCGCTGAGCGGAGCTCCGGGTCGACGGAACGCAGCGAGCCCGGCCGCCGAACGGCTCGGCGCTGCGCATGCGCACGGCACGCCCCAGTCGCTCGGGCGACGGCGGGAACGCCACCTGGGCTCCGCCCCCTGGCCGCACAGCCAATCACCGCGCTCCACATCTGCTTGCGTCACCGCCGGGGCAGCGCTCACTGAAGGCCCCCAGCCCGGGGCTGCCCGACGCGCTGCCTGTCTCCAGAAATCCCCGCAGCCGCGATCGTGGCCGAACCGCGACGGCGGCGACCTCGAAGAGGAGGCGAACGGTTTCGTTCCGCAGCTCCGGGATGGTTTTGCTCGACGTCTCCCGCCGCTCGTCCTCCCCCAACCCCGCCGCGGATCCGGCAGCGCGGAGGGCGGGCGCGGCCGGGCCGGGCGGGTCCTGCGCCGCGGGCGGGCGCACGGTGCGTGTATGAGGCCGCCCGCTCCGCCGCCGCCGGCCGCCCTGCGCGATGTGGCTTTGGACGTGGGCCCGGCGCTGAGCGGCCGCGCCGCCGCTATGGGAGCGAACGCGGGCGGCCCCGCGCTGCCCGAGCGCCTCCGCCTGCCCGTCTGCTTCCTGGGTGTCTTCGCCTGCTACTTCTACTACGGCATCCTGCAGGAGAGCATGTGAGCGGGCGCGGGGCCGGCCCGGGACTCGGGTTTTTCCCCGCGCCGCCGGCTCACCGCGTCCCGCTCTTGCAGCACGCGGGGGAAATACGGCGACGGCGCCCGGCAGGAGAAGTTCACGTACGCGCTGAGCCTGGTCTTCATCCAGTGCGTCATCAACGCCGCCTTCGCCAAGCTGCGTGAGTCCGGGCTGCCGGCGGGGCTCCCCGCGCTCCGCGGCTCTGAGCGCCCTGAGCTCCGTCGCAGCCCTGACGCTTCTCCTCCTTCGCTCTCCCCGCAGTGATCCGTTTCTTTGACTCCGCCAGGGTGGATCGCACGCACGGCTGGCTGTACGCCGCCTGCTCGCTCTCTTATCTGGGCGCGATGGTTTCCAGCAATTCGGCCCTGCAGTTCGTCAACTACCCGACCCAGGTGAGCGTCGGCCGCTCCGGGAACGGACCTCCGTTCACCGGCTGGGAGCTGCCGCTGACGGCTGTGGGCTGCAGGTTTTGGTTTTGCGGTCGCTCTGTGGAGGGGCTTTGTTGGCTTTCCTGCAGGAGGTGCAGTGTGTCGGTGCCGGTCGGGTCGCCCTCGTGTTGGGCTCACACTGCAGGCAGGAGGTTGGTGTGCAGGTGGTTAATGTGCTCTTTTTTTCGATAGGTCCTAGGCAAATCCTGTAAGCCCATTCCAGGTAAGCAAATTAAAATGCTTCTTTGCGTGTATTTCTGTGGGTTTCTCGTGTCCTTTGACCGATCTGAGGAGCTTAGCTGTAAAAACAGCGCTGTGTTGCAGGAACGGCAGCTGTGCACCATTCGGCCCCGTGTTCTGTTCTGTGGGCTGCTGTATTCCCAGGTGAGGATGTGGGCTTCATGGTGTCGCTTCTTTTGCAGTCATGCTTTTAGGTGTGACTGTGCTGAGGAAGAAGTACCCGCTGGCCAAGTACCTCTGCGTCCTCCTGATAGTCACAGGCGTGGCCCTGTTCATGTATAAGCCCAAAAAGGGAGCTGGAGGTGACGACCACATCTTTGGCTACGGGGAGCTCCTTCTGGTGAGTGCTGCTGCAGCGCAGTGAGCTCAGGGCTGCCTGGTGGGAGGATGGAGCAGTGAGAGCTTTGTACAGCAAGAGCACCTTAAAGCTGATGTGGAAATGCTTCCATGCAGTGGGTGCCTCATCGAGTTTGAGGGATGCACGTCTCTTTTTGTCTGTTCTGAGGTCGCATCATTGGTGTTTAACAGGTGTTTGGGATGCCTCAAACGAGGGAGGGAGCTGAAGGTCTTCACCCTAGAGAAGGTTTTGCTTTACTCGTATCCCTGTCTCCTTTTGTCAGTTGCTGTCGCTGACCTTGGATGGGCTGACAGGTGTCTCTCAGGACCACATGAGAGCTCACTATCAAACCGGCTCCAATCACATGATGCTGAATGTTAACCTCTGGTCCACCTTGTTCCTGGGAGCTGGTAAGGAACGCCCTGCACAAAGTACGGCCTGCCCTGCAGCGCCCTGCGGGAGCAGCGCCGTGTTCTGCTCCCTGAAGGACTTGGAAACGCTCGTTGCAAAAGAGCTTCAGTTTGGGTGTTCGGTGTCTGGGTGTTCGGTGCAGCTCTTCCGATGCCCACCAGAGGGCGCTGCTTCACACACAGCTTAACTCCCCAGCTGAGCTCCGTGCTGAGCAGCCCTCCGTGCTGCCGGCTGCGTTGGGAATGTGAACTGAGGTTATGCTCCGTAGGCTGAGATGATGCTCGGGTGAATAACTTCTCATCCCGACCCTTCCCGCAGGGATCCTGTTCACTGGAGAGCTCTGGGAGTTCCTGAGTTTCACTGAGCGTTATCCCAGCATCATTTACAACATCCTGCTGTTCGGCCTGACGAGCGCGCTGGGTCAGGTAAACTGCCCTTGTTCTGCAGCCTTCACTGGGGTTTGTTTGCACAGCTGGGAGATGGCAGAGCAAAGTTGCCTCGCTTTCTGTTGCTTTGGTTATCGCTGCTTTCCATGTAGGCTACCACGAAATTAAAATGGTTATATGGAAGTAATGGGGAGTTGAAAAAATAAAAGAACAACCCGAAAGCTGTTCTTTCAGCTCTGGCTCTGTGGTTGAAAATGTGATCCCGGCTGTGTCTTTTTGTGATGAAAAGCACCTGTTTGTTTTCCAGAGCTTCATTTTCATGACGGTGGTTTACTTCGGACCTCTGACCTGTTCCATCATCACCACAACACGCAAGTTCTTCACCATTTTAGCATCCGTCATTCTGTTTGCCAATCCCATCAGCAGCATGCAGTGGGTGGGGACGGTCCTGGTGTTCCTGGGTAAGTCTGGGAGCAGAGCTGAGCTCTTCCTTCCGTTAGCATAAACAGCGCTCAGCGGGGGCAGCTGTAAAAGGTGCTGGTCAGAAAATGGAATTGTGTGGAACGCTTCTGATGGAAGTGTGCTGCAGCTTAGAGCGGGGGAAGAAGAGGAAGCTTTCCGTGCACGCAGATTGCTTTGTCTCTTTGCAGGCCTTGGACTTGATGCCAAATTTGGGAAGGGAGTAAAGAAGACGTCGCATTGAGGAGGCGGTGGATCTGTGCTGTCGGAATGAACTTTTAATTTATTGTCTTGTACCTCAAAGTCTGTCATGAAACTGGACTCAGGATAGGTAATTAGAAGGGGAATGTTTGGATTTTTTTTTTGTTTTAGTTTTTTAATTACGAATTGCTTCAGTTTTAACTGTAATCAAGTATGATGGTTTTTTTCTGTAATCGAAGGTGCAGTACTAGATCCTAGCAGCAGGATGACATTCTTGCCTTAACAGAAAAAAAAAACTTCCTATCTTTATTAAAGAAAAGGAAACAATGGCCTCTTCTCCAGGACTTTGATTTCAGTTCTTGGCTGACGGTGGGGAGGCAGAGCAGAGCTTTCTGCAAGGAGAGGCGGTCAGAATGGCGTTAGCATGGTGCAGCCTGGGGAGGTCCAGGATTAAATGCCTGTGTTGAAGAGGATCCTCTCTCCTGGCTGAATGTGTGGTGATTTTCACAGCGGAGCAGGCAGTCGGACGTTCTGCTGTTAACACAGTGTGCTGCACTGCGTTCTTCACCTGAGCCCTTCTGAACAGGCAGCCCTTGGCGTATGTAAAAACGTACAGGAAATCTGTTGAACCGCCGGGGTTAAAATGAATTCTTTTCATCTCCCCCTGCAGAGGAAGGAACAGGAACCTCTGCCGCTAAACTGGTGCCAAGGTTGTGTGACAACAGCTTCTGAATGTTGAAAGGGCCCTTGTTAATTAACCGCTATCATGGTGAGCTGCCGCTCCTGGGCGCAGGCTGGGTCCCAGTGCTGCGGGGGGAGGAGCTGCTATCAGAACGATGCCTGCAGAGTTGGAGAGCAGAATTCTCCACAGAACAAACTTTACACATGAAAGCACGTTTGCACCAGCTGTCGCTTGGTCTCCATCTGTTCTGTGGCTTTGGCCTTTTGCCCCTCCAGATGGGATCTTGATCTCTTTACTGAGCGGCTGCTGTAAGTCTCCCTTTCCAGCCCCTTCTACCCCCACCTCTGCAGTATTTCTTACAACTTTTTTGGACTCCAATTTGTTTTTCATTTAGTCTGCCTCGTTATCCTGTAGCGCTACTCAAACAACACATTTCTTGCAGAATTAAACCTGAGGATATGAAAGGTTTTGTTTTTTTCTGTCACTCTCACCTCCTTGCTGACTTGTGTTGCCTTAAAGGTCAGATGATAAGTAGCAAACAAATGTGTTCTCAGTAGTAGAGAGCCACGAAATAAAAGCTTCTGTGATTTAACTCCATGGATGCTGCTTGATGAACTTCGTGCTGGCACCTGCTGCCGTATGAAGATCCCAGCTGCCCTGACAACAGTATATTCAAGGTAATTAATTGCCATTTCATAAATGGGAGCAGAAATACTGAATGACTTGTGCTGTGCGATAGATAGCACTGAGTTATGGTGCTGTCTGAGTGGTAAAGGTGTCT